GACGTGTGGCTAAAGCCTTTGATTGGTCCAGTTGAGAGAGCTAAGCTTGACAGCCACAGTTCTTTGACCTTGATGAACGATATAGTGCATGCTTCTTTAAAGGTATCCCTTTTTCAAACTTTACTTTATCATTTTTCTATCTTCAGGGTTCTCATTTTTCCCCTATCTTTTTTTAGGTCAATCTAATTGGCACGGAGATGATGAAAAGGGTTACCCTCTCAGAGCAATTAGTGCGTAATTACCAAGTAGAGGAGGATAATTGGAAGGAATAGTGTGAAAGTCTTTAGATCGACGTGGAAACATTAGAAGAAAGTAAATTTACCTTAGAGCAGCAGGTACGGGCTTTGACTTCAGAGTTGGCAGTTGAAAAAGCTTTTTCAAATCAAGTAGATAAGGAAAAGGCTCGTCTAGAAACCTCTTTTTTCGAGCAACTTTCCAAGGTAAGTGAAGAAATCAGAGAGTTGAAGGCTCTCTTGGGTGAAAAAGAAGCATATGCTGGTGAACTCGTGTAGACTTTGACTCAAACTCAAGAAGACCTCCGGGTATCTTCTGATAAAGTTTGCTCTTTAGAAAATTCACACGCTTCTCTTCAAACCTCTTATGAATCTGCCTTGACTGAAAATGAGAAGTTAAGAAATGAAATTGCTGACTGGGAAAGAGATTATGAGATTTTTGAAGATAAAACTGCCATTGAAGTGAGTTGGGCTATTTTAAATTCCCGCCATGATACCCTTGTTGAAGTTAGCCAGGAGAATTTTTACTTGGAATTTGAGTTAGCCAAGATCAAAGAGACTATTGAAAAGACTCAGCAGAACCAACATTTTTCTTCTCCCGTGGCTGAAGCTTCTGAAAATGTTGAAGATGATACGGGTATCACTCCTTCAAGTCAAGTTGAGCCTGCTGCTGCTGATGACCTTGCTTTAGTTCCTTCTACTTCTCAGTGAAAAGTTTATGATGTTTAACTTCCTTTTTTTTTTCTTTTTTGGTGGTATGTGGTTGTAACCCTTGGTCTTTTTAAGGTTTTGCTGAAAATATTAAGTCCCCAGACCTTTTATGCGGCGCTCTGTATAAACAACTTTTGATTTATGACTAAATTCATACTTAGTCTAAACTTTTTTAATATTAAGAAGTTTCCGTTGTTGTTCGAACTTCCCTTTTTTTTATTCTTGCCTTTATTTTTAAGGACTTACGGAATAACTTGCATTTTTATTTTCTCAAAAATGCTTCTGTTTTGTTTTTAACTTCATGAATACTTGAATTAATCATGAATTTTATAAAAGAGTGCCCTTTGCTTGATTTTGAAAATATCTTCCATTCTTTTTCGACTTTTTGAGCTCCCGAATATGCTTTGATAAATGAATCTGCAAGCTCAGCAAAAGAATTTATGGAATTTTTGGGTAAAAGAGAATACCATGTTAATGCTCCCTTAGTGAGTATTTCACCGAATTTTTTGACCAATACTGATTCAATTTCTTGTTTGGTCAAGTCGTTGCCTTTTACGTCTGTTGTGAATGTAGTCACGTGATCTTGTGGATCATTTGTTCCATCGTATTTTGGAATATCAGGCATTTGAATTTCTTTAGAATTGGGAGGAGAGCAGCACTTGGCTTCCAAGGTTGCTGTGAATATTTATCCATATCTATCCCTTTGATTACGGGCGGTACTCCAGGTCTTTGCTCTATGCGGTCACTTTGCTCCTTGAGCTGTTTCTGCAATGTTAATACTAAATTTTGTAAGTCAGAATTGACTAAGTTACCTAGTTCTCCTTCTCGTGACTCGCTGGGGATTCCACCACTGCCTGAATTAGCAAGCCCAGAATGAGGGTTCTCCAAAGTGTTGTTATTTGGAGTGGGTGTTGGTGGTGCAACAGGTAACTGGTTGACAAAGGCCTCAAGAGCTTTATTGACCTGTTGAGCGATTAGATTTTGCAAAGATTCATTGATAGCTTCATCATTTTCAAATTGAGCGTTTCCATTTGCATGAGATCTATCAGGAGTGCCTTCTCGAGACCACCGAGAGGAGCTTTGGGGAGAAGGGATCGGGGTGTGATCATCCTGTGGATTCCCTTGGAGTTGATGGTTTCCTTGGTTTCCTTAGGTGTTGTCATTAATGTTTGACATGATTGATGCAACAAAACAGTTTAGCCTAAGAAAGAATAGATTATCAGATTCCCAGTAACGGAACCAATTTGTTTAACCAAAAAGTAGAACTTCGGTCAAAGCTTTAATTTAGAAGAACTCGGGTTACTGATAATCATAAATGAATAAGGGAAATTGATTTTGCTAACAATAAGATAGACAGAAGAAAACAAAGTAAACCAGTATATTCAGATGATTTTTCGTGTCCTTACAAATGACCAGTTTTCTCCTTTTTATAGCTATCTCTAAGATATACGTTTTGCCTTTGTCATAATCAAGCCATTATAGACAATTAAAGACATTAAATGTTACGTTACGTAATCATTGTAATTTAATATAGATTCTTTAACGTTTTTAGTATTTAATGCTTATTAAATACTGTATTTGTACTCTCTTGTGTTATCAGATTCATTCTCCTTAATTTACGGATCAAAATAAGTATGAGTGTCGAGACTTTTGAGTAATTGCTCGTGCCTCTACTTGTGCCTCTGCTCGTATCCGTTGCAACTCGTGCCTCTTTGCTAATCATCATTTTTTTGATCAGCCTTCGTGTCATGACACATCATCTTTCAATCACTTCAATATGTAAACTCAATTTTTTCCAATACATTGATGGTATTATTTAAAGACATAAAGATATTGTTTGTTCACTTCATTAATAATGCCAGCGGCTTGCAAGTCTATTTTCATTTTGTAATGTGGTGACGATAACGCCAGATTGTCAAAAAAGAGCACAATGTACTATTGCTCTATCCAAGATGGTTTTTACTCTACACCACTCTTTAATTTCTTTGTTATATGTACACACGCATTTTTCCAATTCTCCGTAGCCAAAAATGAGGTCCAAACACGGAAATGACAACCATTTTTGTGATTGTGATTGTGATTGATAACACTCCATAAATTAACAATTACTTTCCTTAAAACTTTCTTTGACTGAGATTGAAAACCGGAATTACCTCAAATACACATTTCATTTCCCATATATATTATTCGTATTTGGAGCAAAAAAATATTCATCAATTGCATTCACTATATTTTCCACCTTTCTTTCTCCAACGATTCCGCATTATATTTGAGTTTGTGAGAGGAACATAAAGAGTTCCTTTCAACTCCAAAAAAGAGTGTAAAAAAATAAATTAAAAACCAAAAATATGGGAGCTTGTGCTAGTGCACCAAAGGACTTGAAGGCTGAGGCCAAGGCAGCCCCTCTGCCGGAGCAACCAAAGGAGGAGGAGACCACCACTACCACCACCACCGCGGTCCCGGAGGTGACGGTGGTTGACAAGGAGGTGAACGGAGAAGATGAAGAAAAGAAGGTGGAAGATGGTGATGTTGCTAAGCCAAAGGAGGATGAGAAGGTGGCCGGGGATATGAACAAATCCAATTCTCTTGGGACGTTGCTCAATGAGGTATATCATTATTTTATTTTTTTATGATAATAATTTTCGAATACAACCCTATTTTCTCGGGGTAATGGCTACGTATTTAGTATGATAGAATTCATTTTTTTTTTAAATGATATGGAGAAGTCATCTTTTAAACAATTATTTAATGTGTAGCTTTATATTACTTTCTTCAACTACTAATATTATTCATGTTTAATATTTTTTTAAGAAATATTTTTCACTCAATAATCAAAAATAGAAAATGTTTACGGTTTTGAATGCTTTGAAAATGAATGGCACAGACCGAAGTAGAAAAGGAGTCAGTTAAAGATGAAACCACAGACAAAAAACCAGAAGAAGCAAAAGTGGAAGAACTTGCAGCATCAGATGCCAACAAAGAAACTGATGCTCAACAACCAGCTGCTGCAGAAGAGGCTGAAAAGAAATCAACATAGAGTTTAATCCAAGACATGGTCTCAAGAGAGCTTCAAATGATAAATGCATATGTTTTTTGTTGGTTACTTAAGGGTCAAGAAAAAATTGTGTAGCAAAATATATGGGATTGGAACATATATGGACTTGCATGGGTTTAAATATGGTGGATATTGTTTTTGAAGTATCTATAGTTTTATGTATTTTGGTGTTTCATGTTATTGGTGTTCTCTTAATCTTTTCTTTAAATTCTTTTGATATTGTTTGTTCATCAATATTCACACCCCTCCATAGGTGTGTGTTCAATTCTCAGTACGATTTTATAGAAGATTTTCTTAAACACAAAACCTCGTTCATTTACTCCTTTCATTTCTCATGGGATCCTTCTCACTCAATAACCACCTGCAGGGCAGGGCTTTAAACAAGAAGAAGTGAGAGCTAATGCCCTATTATGAAATAACGACTTAGATACTACCAGGCCTTCCCAATTTCTAGAGATGGCAAATTTAAGAAAAGTGGTTAGATTGATAAGTTTGAAGGGGAGTTTGGCGTAACTGGTAAAGTTACTGCCATGTGACCAGGAGGTCACGGGTTCCGGCCTCTTGCAGAAATGTAGGGTAAGATTGCATACAATAGACCCTTGTGGTCTAGCCCTTCGGACCCCGCGCATAGCAGGAGCTTAGTGCACCGATTACATTGACAAGTTCAGAGTTTTGGCCAACTCTGGCTACAGCATGCCCAATAATTTTCGAGGACAGAAATGCAAAGTTCCAAGCAAGGATCACTCAGCATATGAGAATGAATAACCACCATGTTGTAAGATTTAAAAAATTAACCACACCAGAAGAACCACCACTACTTTAGATGCTAGCACCAGCCAAGTATACCAAAGGTAATATTGCAACATGGTTACAATTGAGATTAAGCTAGATCCAACATAGGTGCATTGTGATAATAGCTGTGATAATTCAACAAGCCTTTTACGCAGGGGGAACGAGTTGCCAATTAAAGCATTTTATATAGGTAAAAGCAAGAAACAAAGTGAAAGTTACCAAACACATCATAAATAAAATAGTCCAATTAAGTGCTAACATGGTTATGCTTCAGTCCTAAAGCTGAACAAGAAGAGATTAAAAGTTTGCACTTCCTACATCGAAAAAAAAGCAAACACAATCAAGCAGAGAAAATACATGTTCCAAGTTTAACAGAGGGTGATTCAAGAGCAAGTACAGACCACATATACTGCAGCACTGGTACATGATTCAGTCAAAAGGGCGCATTCCACTGAGTTTGAGTTCAAGCACCAACCGCTGATTCTCAAGCTTGATAACCTCATTATCCAGCATCATCTTTTGTAGCTCCTTGTCTTCTTTACTGCAGAATCTCATGTGCTTGAACCTCTTCTTCTCCAATTCCAGAATTTGAGCCTGAATTTGTAGCTTTTGTTCTTCCAGCTGTCGTAAGCGAGGGAGACTATGCTCGTCCTGTATTTCTCTCTCCTCATTGTTCATAGAAACTCTTTTATCTTTTGAAACTCTTTCTTCTCCACTTGTCTTCCTCTTCAAAGGCAAATCCTGCAACACATTTTTGGTGTCACACTTGTCTTTACCCTTTACAGCCAACAGCACAGATTGCTGAACTTCCTGATCATGGGGAAGGAATAATCTATTCTGATTGTTGTATGAACACATTTCTTGGTAGAACAACTGTTTGCTACCTAAAAGCTTCTTCATTTCCTCTTTCAAATTGTCAGATAGGTCCATCATTTCTAGAAGTGCTGGGTTCTCCATGACATGACATGCAGTGCCTCTCCCAAGTATATCATTCAGTCTCTTGAACTTCTTGTTCATATCATTAAACTTATCCTCACATTGCTGAGGAGAGATGTGATGACCTCTTTCAGCCATAACACAGGAAATGGCCCTCCATTTACCCTTCTTGATGAAAACCCCATTGGACAAAACATCTTCTCCGATGTAAGAAACAGCAGTAATCAAAAGCTTAACCATATCATCTGTCCATTTCATACGATGATATACTGGCTGCTTCTCTTCAGCATGTCCAGAGACTTCTGTCACATCATTCATACCCTCATGATACGCTTCAGGCATCTCGACACTATTGAGTTTGATAGAATCAAGCAACTGCATTTCTTGGTCAATGTCTTCCATGTTGCTTACACCAAAGGACGTCACTTCTGGAGCATGCTGCCCAAGAACCACAGGACCCTGGTTAGGGTGATTGACTTGCATTGAACTGAACAACTCCAGCTCTCCACTGACTAACCTGGAGCTATAAAAAGCAAGGTGATGAGACTTTATGTTCACAGTAGTAGAGCAGCAACATTAATAAAGTAAACAACTACATCTGAACCCCAGCAAGTTGGAATCGGCTATATGAATCATCACTATCCATTAATAAAGTAAGTCAAAAAAAATAATTCAGATCATATACGATTTTGCTCATTCATCAGAGAATAAACAGATAAGTTCTCGGGATTAAGTTCATGAATACAAAAAGATGCAAAAAAGTGGATTCTGGATTTTACTAGATCTGCAACTAGAAAAGAGGAGTACTAAGGCTAGTAGACGTATAACACACAGTACATAAGACTTTCCTACAATGTTTAACTTACAAAAAACACGGCTATTTAAATGGAAACAATCAACTACAAAAAAGACGCTCATAGTTATGAAGAACTAACAAGAAAGGGAAAGAATTGATTCAAACACATCATGCCAATGCAGATATAAAGCAAAAAAGATGAATTTACTATAAAATAAATAAAACCAGTCTCAAATAGAGAGTAAATCTTTCAAACCTTTAGAATATAAGTTCTTGCTTACTTCTAAGGAAGAGCCACATGCATTAAGCGAGTACTCTAAGAGCGCTTCCTGAAACACATTGTTTTGATCGCCCAGGGAAGAGGAGAATTTAATATAGAAACAAGGTTTGTAAAACAAGGGCCGTTGCTGCTGACAACTGGATGATGGAAGTAACAGGTGGTTTAAAGTGAGAATGCTTTCACACTTTCGCTCACTAAATCCATAAATGAGTCAGAGTTATGTATTACAAGTTCAAACAAGAAGCATAATCAGCATACTTATTTTGAAAAAATAAATGCCAGACACATTCTGGGAAATATTTTAGAGCTGATTAAGGACAAAATATAAGCCTTAATTTCCTCCGCCCCCTCAACCACCGATTTTCTCCCTAGTTTTTTCAATAAAAAAATAAAATAAATAACTTTGACACTCTACAACATTGTCTAGAGAATGGTTCCAGGCAAAGTACATTTAAATCAACTCACAGCCAAGTTGATAAAACTGCTCTCAACTTTACTTTAACACAAAGGCAGAATGCTAAATACAGAATGTAAAATATCAAACTTATTACAGATCTCTTTGGCCTAGCGGACAAAAAGGCTTGGATAGAAATAATATATCATATATGCTTTGCGTTGAACAATCATCCTTTGATAAATTTTGTAGAGACGACGAGTAATGCCTACTGGCTTTCATTGACTGTAGCCTAGCTGTTGCCTTTATTAGCTATTCCTCTTTCCTTTTGCTTCTCCCATATATTTAAATTTCGTTGTGTATATACCCTTTACAAGCATTTCTTTCATTTCTTAATTTTACCTTTCTCAACTTTTATTCCCCAAATTTATCTGAACATGATAAAGAAAAACTAATAGATACAGATATAAATGATGAATAACTTTGTCAGAGATATAAGGTGTAAAGGGAAAGAAAAGGTATTCTATCATCAAATATGTGTGTGTGTGGCGACTTGAATCCCCAATCTCATGGTTGGAGGCAAGGTGTCGCTTCAATTTTTTTCCTGTTGATGTAGTTCACTATCATCATCCAAGTGATGACATCTCAACTAGGAGCTTTAGTCATTACATTAAAAATTATAATTTTATCAACAGGATGTAACATAGGGATTGATGTGCTTCAAGTGTAATAGAGTAAGCTTCCCTCAAGAACTTCATGATCCTTTTAATTATTTTACTTCTTTTCTTGTTCTGCTTCCCATTTATATCTTCTCTGTTTCATTTCTTGGAGTGCCTCTAATTATTCATTGAATAGTGTGTATGCAGTAGTGAATGAACAGGCAATCTTCTGGTGCACTAAAAGAGGAACTTAACAGAGAAATTAATCAGCATTTCAGAAAAAAGAAATCGATCAGAGGGGAGGACAGAGAGAAAGAGGTACAGGCAGCGAGTTTAGGTCACAGTAGTGAAGACGGTGGACAGTAATTCAAATATAGCAAGCCAAAACTCAGGATTACATTTAAAAGTTTTTCTGTTTTTTTTTTCCAGCATACCAAGTTTTGCTTGTAACTTTTACAGCTTCTCCATTATGTGTTAACAAACCAATAACTTGATAAGTAACTGGAAATCAATCAGATAAACAAACAAGAGCATGGATTATTTGTTTTATGAATCCTATATCATGCATGAAAGCATTAAGCACTTAAATTTTATTCATACCGATGAAAAGCACATGCTGTTGAAGCTCTATCCAAAAAAGTGTTTATGCCAGCAGCTATTTGGTACACCATTTCTTAATACAGCAAATCTGATGTGCATCTCATGAGACCAGCATAGCCGAGTTAGTTCACTTCTAGTGGAAAATAATCTACTAGGAGTCCATATCCGAAGCAAAGTTAGACGATGAAGTAGGAAGCATGCATATGGCATCCGAATGGCAAAAGTCGAGCTCACTCTCAGTTCACTTGAATGTGCATCCATATCTTGTTATCTTATTTCTGTCAGAATTTATTCTCCAAGATTCATGCACTCAATTTCCTGTCTCAACCTTCAGAGATCCTAATACTCAATCTGGCTGACCTTCAGATTCACGTTGCTGCTTCTCCACAGGATAATGGGCATGTTTTCTCTAGTTTAAGGTAAGGAATTCATCTGGATACTAGGGCCATAAATTCAAGTGCTTCCCCATGTTCCTTCCTCTTTTAGGACAACCATGGCATATTAGAATCTTTATCTAGTGGATGACTATATCTGCTGCATTGCTTTTGACATTCCAGTCCAGCAACTTTCAAGGTCATGAGGGTTACTGGTCCTGGCTACAGAAACTTTTGAGGTTTCACCGTCTTCTCTGCCATCTTATCTGCTGCTGTGCCGTGCTGTGCCATGTCCCATGCCACACAGTGGCAGCAAAACTCTAAGAACGACTAAGGATTCTTCAAAATACATTTTCAAAAAAAAAGACATTTTCAAAAGCAGCTCAAATTCGAACAAATCCGTGTGGCAGTGGCGGACGTAGAGTATAGTTACTGGGTTCCCGGGAACCAGTAACTTTTGTGAAGACCCTGTATTTTTATTAAAAAATCCATTAAATATCTATAAATATATAACTGTGAACCCAGTTATTATTGTATATTAATTTGACATTATAATAGGAACCCATAAAGTTCAAATCCTGGATCCGCCTCTGTTCATCTCTCCACTAGATTTCACTGGAACCACTAGATTTTTCATCCTCCACCATGAACGCTGGAATTTGACCACAAAAACATTACCTTATGATTTAGCGCATCAGTGAAAAATCTTGGGGTGGAAGTGGAAAACACCCAAAAACATCTCAGGGTCTATTTACAAGGACGAGAAGCCCATGTGAGTTGACTGCGGACTATCTTGTTTGAGGCAAAAACAAATCTACAAAAACTTGGCAGGCGGAGCCCAAATTTAAATCTATGCCCCCTCTTTCTTTCTTTCTTTTTCTTCTTTTTTGGGTTTTAAATAGGGAAAAGTTGCCAACTGGGAACAGAGGATTGTAAAAGTGGCAGCAGTGGTTTTCTTCTAAGTATATTGGGAAACACAAATCATTGTCATAAATATAGAAGCACGTTCAAACTTTAGCTAATGGAGTACTATATTACGTCAATTTAATTTGCATTAACAGTCAATACTTCCTAGTATTTATTACCTTAAGAGGACCAATTTTCAAATCCCAGAGGACTTGTACATTTGAAAGGAACTAGAGCATTGGCGAAATATAGAGATTGTAATGTAGGAACTGATTTACCATGAACAATAATGTTCAATTTCCTCTTTGTTATGTCATGTTAAATTTTTAAAAAAGTTTTTATCATGAATTAATAGTAATGCATGAGTTGCTATGTCTGAATTGTCTGTTTTAAGAGCACATGTCTATAAAGTTTGAGTAGAAACAGAGACCACCAAATACCAAAGATTTCAAAGCCAGCCATGAATTGACATTACTCAGTATAAGAATATACACAGGAAACCAAATCCAGAATAACATGAAGATAAAAAGAGGAGAGAAAAAAGATAACCTCTTAACACCAAAAACAATAGTAACACTAAGACTCAAATGACATTAAGAAAACCAGGGTACAGTTTAAAAGCTTACATCCTATTATACATTACTTAATCTTCGTCTTTATGAACTCAAAATATTCAACTTTAACAAAGCCTGACCAGAACTCCAACCAAACTGTTGAAGCAGATAATGAGCAGATGAGCTCCTCCCTTTATCAACTCAGAAGCATTTTCGGTGAACAATGGAAGGACCAGATTCATCATATTCACCTTTTGTTATCCACATCTGTAGTTCAAGAAACAAAATCAGCAAGGATCCCAACAAACAAAATTTCGGAATACAGCTAAACCATATCAGAGTTTGAGGAGAATTCATTATTATGCATTACCTGTTGGAAGGTGCTGAGAGAAGCTAAGATAGATCCTCCAATCCAGACACTGTACTTGCGTTCAGGAGGCGCCACCACCTTGATCTTCATGCTGCTGGGAGCAAGAGCAGTAATTTCCTTGCTCATACGATCTGCAATGCCAGGAAACATTGTTGTTCCACCACTAAGGACGATGTTTCCATAAAGATCCTTTCTGATATCTACATCACACTTCATGATGGAATTGTAAGTTGTTTCGTGAATTCCAGCAGCTTCCATTCCAACAAGTGATGGCTGGAATAAAACTTCCGGACATCTGAACCTCTCTGAGCCAATGGTAATGACCTGCCCATCTGGTAACTCATAGCTTTTTTCAACAGAAGAGCTACTCTTTGCAGTCTCCAACTCTTGCTCATAGTCAAGTGCAACATATGCCAGTTTCTCTTTAACATCGCGGACAATTTCCCGTTCAGCACTAGTGGTGAATGAATAACCTCTTTCCGTCAAGATTTTCATCAAACAATCAGTAAGATCACGACCAGCAAGATCCAACCGAAGAATTGCATGAGGAAGGGCGTAACCTTCATAAATTGGTACTGTATGTGAGACACCGTCGCCGGAATCCAACACAATACCTGTTGAGATGGGCAAAAGCATAATTAGAAAGGAAAATTTGAAGATTCAAAGCATACCATTATATGGCAACAATCACAGGCTATGCCAAATCAGATAACCATACATAAAATATAAAAGCTTGAATGAGGTCGAGATCAACCAGACTTCTCTCCATGTCCGAGTCATTTGAAACTTTAACTAAAACAATATCGTAATGGATATGCTGACAGTCAAATAATCAATCTACTAATCAAAACTTGGTTGTAAAATCAGGGTAAGACCCAGGTCGCACCTGTTGTACGGCCACTGGCGTATAGGGACAACACAGCTTGAATAGCAACATACATGGCAGGTACATTGAAAGTCTCAAACATGATCTGTGTCATCTTCTCTCTATTGGCCTTTGGATTCAAGGGTGCTTCAGTAAGTAGCACAGGATGCTCTTCAGGAGCAACACGCAACTCATTGTAAAAGGTATGATGCCAGATCTTCTCCATATCGTCCCAGTTGCTTACTATTCCATGCTCAATGGGATACTTCAAGGTGAGAATACCCCTTTTGGACTGAGCTTCGTCACCAACATATGCATCCTTTTGACCCATACCAACCATAACACCAGTGTGTCGAGGTCGACCAACAATACTAGGAAAAACAGCCCTCGGAGCATCATCACCAGCAAATCCAGCCTGCAGGTAAATAGGTCAAAAGAGACATTAATTAAGTGAAGTATTACGATTTTATTCCCGATAATCACAACCAGACTATAAAACTTGAAATACAAGGGTGCATATCTTTGGCGGGTCAAACCAAGGGGAACCAAAAGACTTGTTTCTTTTTTCCTACTAATATAAGATAATATTATGCTAAATTTACAGCTAATTGCCCAAAAGAGTTACATGCCTCCGTTATAAACCAAAAGACTTATATCAATAAAATAAAGTATCATCTGAAGGGGAAAGCGTAACAGCTTAAGAACTAACCTTAACCATTCCTGTTCCGTTATCACAGACAAGGGGTTGAATATCTTCTGAATCAGCCATCTCTTAAAACCTGGCACAAGGTGGTATTAGTGAAGAACTGTAAGAAAAGTACCATTCTAGTAATCGATCTAGATGTAACAAAGTATGGGTAGAATAATTAAATTTTCTATATAAGTTGCAAGGAGAACACAGATCATGCATGTACTATGTAGAAAAAGAAGAAGATAAACAAATAGAAGAACACATAGATAGATACTCATGGAATTATATTAATCAATCAATCAACAACTACGCCTCAATCTAAACAAAAATGAGACTCAATTTAGCTGATCTCTGGAATCTCATGATCAAGTCAGAACTACACTGCCTAGGGAGCAACAAATTCAAAAGATAGTAACTTTCATTCAAGATCGTTTAGCACCGTAAAAATAACCCAAATTAACAACATGAGATCCTACAGACACACATTGACTATTTAATTGTTACCACCAATTGATTTACAGATCCTGATCTTAGTTGCATAATTGATAATTGATAGTATCTTTCTAACTTTATACTTGTAAGCATGGTATTAACATCTACAAGAAAAATACTCACAAGTTGTAGATAACTCAAAACACAGAAAACGAAAGAAAATCTCAAAAACGGATACACAGTCATTTTAAGCAAGAATTGGAAAAAGGACCATGTGATAAAGAACTTTTTTTTTTTTCATCCAACAGTAATAGAGAACTTAAAGAAGAACAGAGAGATCAATAAACAGAAAGAAAAATTGAGACGTACCAGTTAAAGATTACGGTGGAGCTAAGGAAGGAGAAGTAGAGAAGAGGAAGGGTTTAAGGAGTTGTTGAAAATGAAGAATGGGAATATACGTGGTTTTCTGTATTTAAAGCCAGTAGAGACTATAATACTCGTGACGTTGGGCGGGGGTGATAAATGAAATTGAAATCCAAATGAAATGTGCTCCAAATAACAATTGTGGTATGTTTGGCCGCTCACTAAAAGCCAGGCAAAAGGATCTTATCATCTCTCGTATCTTTTTCTTTTTTTTTTTTTTTCCTTTGGAAGATGAGGGTGGGGTAAATTACACATTAATATAAAATTTTGCCAGTTATTAGTTTTGAAAGTGGCTATATTTTTATTTTTTTAATTCCATTATTTTTATTATAAACTAGAAATAAAAATAATTTATATGGTTCGGACACATGCAACAGAGAAGACTAGATGCCCCGGTTAGGAGGTGTGAGCGGTTGGCTTTGACAGGTACGAGAAGAGGTAGAGTGCGGCCCAAGAAGTATTGGGGCGGGTGATCAGACTGGACATGGCGCGACTCCAGATTTCCGAGGACATGGCTCTTGATAGGAAGATGTGGAGGTCGAGCATTAGGGTTATAGGTTAAAGGGTAGTCGAGCGGTTTTCCTCTTTATCCCGGTTTCCCTCTTTGTACCGACGGGTATGATAGTGTTGTGTCTAGTAGCAACTGCTAGCGATTTATGTTGTGTTTCACACCGCATAATATTTGTGTTAATGATTTTTCATTTATTTGTTGTTTCTCACATTGCTGATTATTTTTTGGGTTTTATTGTCACAGATCTATTGTATCTGAGCTTAGGGTCTCCCGGAAACAGCCTCTCTAACCCCTCTAGGATAGGGGTAAGATCTGTGTATATACTCTACCCTCCGCAGATCTTACTGGTAGGATTTTACTGGGTTGTGTGGGCTGTTATTGTTGGTGTTGTTATTATAAACTAGAAACCACATTGTTATTTTGTTGACCACATTCAACACTATAGGACTATGTGTAGGATGCTTTTTTATTTGTCCTTGCACGAAATTAGGACATGGCCTAAAAATACAGATAATGTAATATTTGTTGAGTGAATATATTGTAGAACCATATAATAATTTTCATAAGCATAGATGATAGGTTTGAAAAAAATTAAATGAAGAATTGTAATACTGAGTCCTATGTAACTTTTTCTTGTGCGAGTGTTGCTTAAAAGATTTACATTAAAATTAGACATTAACGAGTAAAGTGGATTTTCAGTTTGGGACAAGTGAAGTACTATCTTAAGTAAACAACTAAACATATTACATATGTCGATGAATTTTAGAAAGGATA